AATAATATAAATATAAATAATAAAGCAAATATTTAAAACGTTTAAAAAAATAAAGACATAAGTAAAAAGCAATATTTCTCTGCACCCTATTTCTCTGCACGCACACACATGAACACAAACACAGGTGTAGAGCGTGCACTTGTATGTAACCAACAATTGCACAAAACAAAGGGATAGAAATAGAGAAATAAGTTTAGATCCCTCATTTCTGTTTAACTCTAAACATATGAACAGTAATGGCTGCTAATGTGTGCCAATTGATCATTTTGGATACTGTCATCGCTGTAATCACACACACACGCGCGCGCGCACACGCACGCACATAGTTTTGAGGCTTGACATAATTGGTTAATGTATGTCATTACCCGCTGCACGGCTTCCTGATTGCCTGGAGTGCCGAGTCCATGCCAGAGGAAGCACCGGTATTGGTACTCGGTATCAGTACTCGTGCTCGATACCGAAAAAACGGTATCGGTGCATCCCTACTGTGTATAGTGTGGTGGAATGGCAACTTTTAGTCTCAGTTAGTTGCCCATGTCACAGGCTGACAATGCGGAAGCACAATCAGGAAACAGGAACAGGATGTTGTCATCCTATAGCAGGAAGTACCTGAGCAGGGACTTTCATGGCACGATCATAGGGTGTTATTTTAAGCTGCACATTTAGGACCTATGCTTACCTTTTCTCGCAGGCTGCATAACCACCACTCCCGAAGTCTCCCAGGCAGGCTCTGCTTCTTTCATGCATGCCCAGAAGAATCTTTATTTATTCCTATGGAGAGGCTGTCCAGAGGCATAATCGAAAACCTTTCCATAGCAATAAAAAGAGATGCTTTAGTGCATGCAGAGCCCAGCCTGGAGACCTCAAGAGCTGTGGTTGTGTGGCTCCCAGTGGAACAAACGGTGAAGATCTCAGAGGAGCAAGGATGTGTAAGGCTTGTAAGGGGGGAGGTTGTTGTGGGGAGGGGGTGACCCAAAAGTACAGTTATACATAAGAACAAAACTTATATTGCACCTAAGCCAAAACTTTTTTTGTAGTTTCTTTAGATTAAGGTTGGTTCAAACTCTTCCAGTTTCTTTTTTTTTGCGGTCTGTGCCTCCTCGGGGAAACTTACCTTCACTTCCAGTCCTGTAGACACAACAGCAAGTGAGAAGGGATTTTCCAACAGTAAGGGACAATTCCATTTTAGGTAGTTGTCAATGGAACAACTGTCCCCATTGAAAGATTTACAAACCACTTGTCCGTTCTCCCCCCATTGCACCGCACCTACCTCTCTCCATGCTAGCTCCATCATCCCACCTCCGTCCTCTTGTCTCCCCCAACTGCTGAGTATCTCTCCTCCCTGGCGGGGAGCAGAACGGCTAGAACTCCTGTGTGGAGGTGACAGAGTCAATACAGAGAACCTGTCACCTCCAAATGCTATCGCACAGGGGCTTGTAAAAATTCGGTCCTGGTCAGCAGAGAGGGTGAATCACTCCATTGGGGACATAGACAGCAATAAAAGCCGAACATATGCTTTACTCTGTCTATAACTAAAAAAAAAAGTTTGGGCTTTTCATAGATTTCCAGGTAATGTTTCCAAAGGTTTGTGGTCACTGTCCTATTTTCCAAATGGACATAGAACATATTTTGTGTTTTCATTCTTGTATATGAGTTGGCCATATCAACAACAAGAATGAATTTTGAGCTTTTTCATTTCTCGTTACAGAATTTCTTGACCTCTCTTCTGTCTTGGGAGACTAGAGAATATTACAATGGCCTTTAACATCACTCTGCAAGAAAAGACTACGATCCCTTACCTTGAAAACAGCACTGAGCACTATAATGAAGGGGATGCAAGATTGGAACACATAGCATCGATTATTCGTGTGTTCTCCATTGTGGTCTACTCTGTGGCCTTTCTTCTGGGGACCTTCGGGAATGGGCTGGTCATCTATTTCACCGCCTTCGTAATGAAAAGGACAGTCAACGTTGTGTGGTTCCTTAATTTAGCCATCGCTGACTTCATCTTCACGTTTTTCTTGCCCTTGAGCATTGCCTATGCCGGCCTTAATTTTTACTGGCCTTTTGGAAAATTCATGTGCAAGCTGAACAGCTTTATTGCCTTCGTCAATTTGTATGCCAGCGTCCTCCAGCTCACCGTGATCAGCATAGACCGATGCATCTCCGTCGTGTTTCCTGTTTGGTGCCAGAATCATCGGACTCCCAGGTTGGCCTCCTTTGTAGCCCTGGTGGTTTGGATCCTTGCATTAATTTTCAGTGTACCTTATTTCATATTCCGAGATATATATGTTGAGGAAGATGTTGTTGTTTGCTTTAACAACTTTCATGAGGATCCCTACATTGCCAATGTAAGGCACAGGGCGACAGTTATCTTTAGATTCATTTTCAGCTTTCTTATCCCCTTCACCGTAATCATCTTTTGCTATTCAGTAATTCTTTTTCGTATCCAAAGAAATCACATGACCACATCGAGCAAGCCTTTAAAAGTCATTCTGGCTGTCATCATTACATTCTTTGTCTGCTGGGTTCCCTACCAAGTCTTCTCCTTCCTGGAGCTGTATGTGATTTCTAGTGAAAGTGATCAATTCGCCTACGTAGTGCATGCTGCAACACCTTTTACCTCCAGCTTGGCCTTTATAAACAGCTGCGTCAATCCTGTCCTCTACGTCTTCATCGGCCGAGATTTCAAAAATAAATTCCAGATCTCCTTCCAGGCAATATTTGAGAGAGCTTTCATGGAGGAATCTGGCCAAACGGACTTGAAGAGCAAAAGCAAATCAACGTCGGATTCACAGCTGGTGTGAGATGAGACTACATTTATGGAACAATAGAGACCATGTAGGCCTTGTCAAATATGGAGTATATCACAGGATATACCCATTATATAATGTTACCTAGGCTTCATTACATCAAGGATATTATGAAGTCCTTCAAATATTGCAATTGCCGTTGGCTGGAGAAGATCCTACCAAGTTGTATGAATGTCTGCACTATCTCAAAATGCCAGAACTCATTAAAAAAGCAACACGCAACTGAGAATGCAAGACCTACAGTATGAAAACTTTTGTGGAGACTGATATTAGATATTAGAAGTTGAATTTAGGCAAACAGCTTAAAAATACACAGATGAAATACATATAAGGGGGCCCGTTTACCTACCAAGGGATTTGTATTTCTGTCTATCCAGTCCTAAGATTTATACAACTCTACCACAAAGCACAGTCCTGTCAGGAAGGGCAGGAGACCTGACTGTTCTGCAGGTCATTGAGTCTTAGTAGTCTTGTTGCCCCTCCATGCTGTGACTGGGCAGTGAACTGAGAAGCACCAGACTGATGAGTTGGAGTCTCCTCCTATAAGTAAACATGTGCGATTCATTTCGTTCGGACATTCGAACACATCAGAACTTCCGCATCCCAGTGCATTCGAATGCGTCCGAATCCGAATTTCCGTGTCCGAATTTCGGATCCCGGCTGAATTTCATTCAAAAAAGAAATTGAATCGGACATGTGACTTTTCTGGCCAATCAGATGTGTTTTTCAGTTTAATGCATCCAAATGGGTCTGAATACAAATTTTCATTACGGCAACATGGGAGCCAAGTACAGTATATACAAATAATACTAAAGCTGAGGCTTCTAAACCTGAATGGCGGTCAGGATCCGAATTTCCGAATTGCATTGGGGAGCTCCTGAATGCCATTCGGATCTGGCATCCTCAGCTTTAGTAATATATATATATATATATGGCAACCAGACCCGAACGGCATTTGGGAGCTCCCGAATGCAATTTGGAAATTCGAATCCTGAAAGCCATTTGGGTCTAAGAGATTCAGCTTTAGTATTAATATCTGTATATGGTTTTCAGTGGTATTCGCAACAAATATTCGTAAACTCATCCGAAACTAACAAAAATTCGGATTTCGCCCGAATCCGAAACCCGAACCAAATTGAATTTCGGATCCGAATCCCGAAATAACGAAATATCTGAACCGAACCGAATTTTTCCGCAGCTTACATATCTACCTATTAGCGTGTTCCTTGTTAGCACATGAGCACTGCAGCAAAATGTATTGCCTTCTTGTGTTGTTTCTTCCTTTTCTAATGTGAGCCCTGCTGTACAGTGCATTGCATGTCAAATTTAGGTGCTTGCATTGAAAATATAATGTATTAATGAATACAGAGCTGCAATCATTTGTGTCTTTTGCTGCTAGCTGGAAATAAACTTTAAAAGGAATAAAGTTATCACATATATTTAATCAACAATTGTTTCTCATTCTCAATGTGAATTATTATGAAAAGACTACAAGCTGCATTCCATGACCAATTATCCTGTACATGGACAAAGACATAGGGTGCCATTGCTGACCTTCTTCTGAAGTCCAGATAAAGTCAGAATGTCTGATTTGCATACCCGTTGCAGATCATAGACATTAGAGGCAATGCTAAAGACAATGGGGTTGATTTACTAACCTTATAAACACACCATGAACGTGTATACACCTCTGTAGTGTGTTCCCTCCCAGCATGATCTATGGGAGGAATCGAAAAACCTTTGTAGTGTGTACACACCCAGCAGGTGTGTTGTGCAAAGCCCTGCAATGAATTGCAAGGTAATGTGGTGTAAATTAGCTCTATGTTATGTTGCTTGCGTTGATGAATGCATGAATGTAAATGCATTAGCTAACCATTTTTGTCTAAACTGTGAAGCAGCATTATATACAGTATGCATCATGTACATGATTTTTCCATATATGGCATTAGTGGAAATATGCTTTTAGATACTTTTTGGTTGATAAATACGTTTTGCTGTGTGAAAATCGCACACACCTGGTGCGTGCGTGTGTTTAGGTTAGTAAATCACCCCCAATGGGTCAGCATGACAGCCAGGGATCTAACATGTTTTCGAAAGAGAGGCTATTTAGTTATGGCAGCTTCTATTTTCTTTGAAGGGGCCCTGTCACCGACATAACAAATTATTATTATCATTAATATTATACAGGATTTATATAGCGGCAACAATTTGCGCAATAGCTTTACAAAATGGAAGAGACAGTACAGTTACAATACAATACAATTTCAGTACAATAGGGCCCTGCTCGTGAGAGCTTACATGCTAGTAGGAATTGCAGTTGAAAGCTTAGACAATCGAGCATTTTAAATGCATACCAGCACGTTTTTTTCTTTCCATAAGCATGCAATGGGAATTTGAACTTGCTAGAAAATTGAAATACTCCGGGAAGAGTCAATTCCGTATCACAGCCCGCCCCCTTGCACGTCATGACCCTCTACTCCTCTGGAAATGTCTTATTACTCTTTGCGCTGGCACAGCTTTCCCAACACTTCCCTTATCTTCCTACATAACCCTTTTTGTAGCAGCTGGGGAAGGAGCAAAGAAGAATACTATAGAGCAGAGGTAGTCAAACTCTGGCAGCTGTGGTGAAACTACATATTCCATCATGCAACTGCCTCTGGGAGTCATGTTTGTGGCTGTCAGAGTCTTGCAATGCCTAACGGGATTTGTAGTTGCACCGCAGCTGGGGGTTTGCCTACCCCTGCTATAGAGTGTCATTTGATTGACAGCTCTGAGTCTGCCGGCTGCTGATATCACATGACTGAGGTAGCATAGATGTCCCCATTCTTTCCCACTACAAGTCCCCAAGCCCACCCACCACCCGTCCTTGTAAGGAATAACTAGACCACACTCCAAAATGGTATAAAATGGCCTTGGCAGCCTTTTATTAACAAATTTGATATATAAAACATACTATATATAAACAATTATCAGAATTAACTAAACAAAGTTGCAGGTCTTTGAAGGCCACACCTTTGATCCGTTACTTGCGGCAGTACTACAACATGTTAGGTCCCCAGCCGCAACACACCGCCTCGGGGACAACCATCAACTGACCGCATACACTCCAAATATCCAATAGATTAATAGAGGACCCACACCAAGACAGGTCCCCAAACCTTAACCACCAGCACCTATTATTTGATGTCCAGAGACCCCAACTGCATAACTACCCAGCCTAACACCAAAATGTTTTGGGTGGGAGGGAGGGAAGTTCACTCTACCTCAGACAATCTCCAACTGCTGCAGAGAAGACCCTCCTACTCAGACCACCGTTCAAGCTCCACTTAACCTTTCGACCTGTCCAATCAGGTAAGTGACCATGTCCCAAGACCGAACCCTCGTTAACCCTTTTAGCTTGTCTCCCCTATACACCTAGTCATGTATGCCCTCCGCTTATTTATTTATTTTTCACTTCGGGCCTTCTTTACAAGATGGCGGCGCCCAGCAGCCATCTCAGAGCATTACACAAGTGAGACTTTTACAGGTAAAGATCATGCATAAAATAAGTTACATCCACATATAATCTTATGGGGTGATTTTTGATGAAATGTATGGTCTGGTGACAGGGTCTCTTTAAAGATCAATGAAACTACCTACAGCTGAGGACTTTTCTTTCACCCAGATACTCGAGTCCCTGAAACACATAGAGGTGAGTGGACTGGATACTTTACCCGATTTAGATCAACCAGCAACTGTGAAGTCCAAGGGCTTGCCTAAATGGATACAGACTGATGTAGGTCCGCATATTTCATAGTTAAAGTGACACTAAACTCAGGAGTTAAATCTTAAAAATACATTCAAGTACCTCAACTATTAACAAAATATCACTCTGCCATAGATCCTCCAATCATAGGGTTGCCACCTTTTCTTCAAGTGAAACCCGAACACTCTAGCGCCACTAAAAAATTTTTGGGGAGAATAGAGAGAGAGTGAGGAGAGGCAGCTAGGGGAGGGAGTAATGAGACCATCTATAGAGAACTGCAAATCCCAGCAATACATTATCCAGCAATACAAAATAATGTGAAGCTACATACTCTGTGCTGTTCTGAGTTGGCGCCCTGATGTCTTCAGGTGGCCTGGTGATTTGTGCCGGCTGTGCAACAAAGTGACGCAGAGAACGGAGGCCAGTCAGGTGGCTCAGAGGCCAGTCAGGTGACGCAGAGCACAGAGGTCAGTAAGGTGACGCAGAGCGCGTAGGCCAGTAAAGTGACGCAGGGTGCGTAGGCCAGTAAGGTGAGGCATTGCGGAGGTCAGTAAGGCGAGGCAGTGCGGAGGTCAGTAAGGCGAGGCATTGCGGAGGTCAGTAAGGTGAGGCAGTGCGGAGGTCAGTAAAGTAAACCGGACTGTCCGGTTGAAAACCGGACGGGTGGCAACCCTATCCATTCATCTCTGAATTGGTGCTGACACTCTCCTTCCTTCTGGAGGGGGGCTACTTTCGTTCCCCATGGTCCCTGTGTGCGTTGTAAAGTAGTCACCATTCCCGGCATCCCTGCTGGACTTTTTATTTATTTTATATCACGGAGCCATGATGTGCGGCACCTTATATTCCGGGTGAGGCATTCCACGCGCCGCCCCCGCCGGCCAAAGCCATGCCCCTCGCCGGATGAAGCTCCGCCTCCCGCCGGACTAAGCACCGTCCCCAAGCTAGTGTCCCTCACTAACTACCTGTCAAAAGCCGGATGCAGCGCTGCCTGTAATTAACAGGCAGCGCTTCATCCATCACAGGTTACACAGCGGGGAGGATTTCCCTGCTGTGTAACCTGATAGATGCCGATCTGAATGGAGAAAAAGCTCTCAGCTTCAGCCTGGAAGCTGACAGTTCTTTCCTCCATAATTCTAGGTGAGGCTCTGCCTCCCCTGACCGCACGTCCCTGTTACGGAGACTGTAATAGGGGGAACTAGAACACACAAAGGTGGGCTGGAACAACCAAGAAGTCAGGAATCATGGCAGAGGATCTCACTGTTGAAG